TCGTGTCCGACTCTAGGCGGTGGTGCTCATCTCTATTTCCAACCCACAGAGCTAGCGTTTTGTCCCTAGACATGGATCCTCTGACACGTGGTGACGTGGCCAGCACGACTCGACATGGAACGCCATATACCTTCTCACCAAGGTGGTACCTATTTATCTACTTGCATTTTGCATGCTTTCAAACTGCTAGGTTGGCGGGAGCTGGGACAAGCGTGGATTCAATCTTACAACTGCAGGTCTTCTGATCTTGCAGCACAGAGGCTTCAGCAGTTTAACCCACAGCGCCACCATGCTCTCCTGCAAAAAAAGCTTTTCACAAAAGTATTTTGGGAACTAGAATGTTAAACAGAAATACCAAATATTTAAGAAAATAATTCCTACATTTCTGAATAATAATAACAAATTAATGTCACTATTGGTGGTTATTCTAAGTACAAGAATATGCTCTACCTTTGCCATGCTTCCTTGCACTGGACCCATCTACTGCTGGCTCTAACCTCATATATGGCTGAAATGTGGGTCCTCAACAAGAAAAATCCCCCCCACTTCAATTACATGGTCACTGAATGGAGGAATATTCAGACAAGCAATCCCCCATTCTATTCATCTACTGCTATCATGTTAAGTGATACAGTTCAAGAAAGAAAACTTCATTGCTTGATCTTGCTGAATATGTAAACTATATCCCTTTTAGTAACTTCCAGACTTGACTATGACAGAGAATGAGAACTCCTTACATGTTCATGTGAACAGCATGGGAAGCTTTTGAAATTGTGAATTAAATAAGGCAAATATTTATCCTTGTGTACTGTGTAACACATCTAATCATGAGACTATTATTTTCACAGCTGGGAAACCCAACAAAATAAGTACTAAAAAGTACTAAAAGATGTCACAGCTTACCTGATTTATTCTGTTTCAAGCCATCCCTTGAGGGGACCAAAAAAAAAATACAAACCTCCCTCTGGGGAGATGCCAGCTTTTCCTTCTCTGCCAACCTTAACAGAGTAAATTACACTGAACAATTCTTACATGTCCCAAGGCTGGAACTTTGCTCGAAGCCTGTTTCTTTGATGCTGTGAATGAATAGAATGAGAATCTGATGTGAATGGGACTGCAGAAAAGTCATTTCTCATTCAGCAGGAAGCTTTATTTTCTTTGTTAAACAAGTCACTTCCTATGAAGGCACTGACATATCGTCCATGAGGCAGGTACTGCGCCAGTGCCAAAAATAACTTGGATAGTATGGGTCCAATAGGAATAGTTTTAGAAGAGGTAGCCATGTTAATCCTTGCTAGCATATCAGGCCAAAAACAAAATAAAAATAAAAATAGACAAAAATGTTGTGGCACCTTAAAGACTAACTGCTATCAAGCCCACCTCCTCAGACAGAGGAGTGAGATTCATGGCAAAGTTTTACATATTTATGTCTGAGGAAGTGGACTTGATCCACAGTGCCACATTGTTGTCTTCCTTTTTATTTTGTTTTTGCTCGGATCAAAATAATAGGCAGTGTTTGTTTCAATGTATTAGTTCTATCTAGAGTATGGGAAGGTTACTTTTTTAAAATTGCTACTCACAGAATCCTCTAGCCCATATGGCCACCATAATGTTTCCAAGCTCCAGTTCTACCTCCAATGTCATTTGCAACATTAAAAAAAAACCCAACAGATCCTGATTCCATTCCAAAAAACAGATTATGCATAACAGTTCCAAAAATGAACACAGCTGTTCTCTGTAATAATGGATTCAGGTAGTTCAGGGCTTATCAGCTGGAGCAGTAAAACAGGGACACCTAAAATAAAATACAGCTTAGCACACCTTTACCCGATACATAGAAATATGCAGGCTTGTACTTAAAATACAGTTTGTAAAATTTCTTAAAGAAGCTGAACAAGGACCTGTGCACATTAGGATGTAAAGAATGTCAAGGTTTCAATGGAGTAGGAAGGGGATATAAAGGAAATGACAGATAGGGTTAGGCAGGAACAGCCTGCTTCAGTCCCTTATGTAGGACCGTGCATGCCACTTGAGTTATATTTTTCCTGAAACTTGTTTTGAAAGTTTTCTCCTCCTCCTACCCCTTCAACATTACACAGAAAAGTTATAATTATTAAAAATCTGTTTAAAAAACAACAGCAGAGCTGTCTTAATACTACCTTGCACATCAGAAAAAGACCTTGGGAAGAAATACAGTGTATTTAATTTTCCTTCTCCTCTTCTCACCACTTTCCCAAAAGCCATGAACCACAGGTCCCCAGTTTCTTGCTGGAAAGAATACTGAAAAGGTGCTTTTGTCTTAGTGGTGGGTATTCTGGACTCAGCACATGAAAATCTTAAATTCACACCCAACCCCTCTGAAGCAAAGTAAATCTTTAGTTTTATTCAACAACTTCCATCATAACTAGAAATGTTTAACTGGAGAAGAGGGAGTGGTCAAAAAAGTGATCAGTGGTTGGATGAGGTAAAAAGAGGATGTGAGAAGACCAGGCCTTCCAAAATGGTGAGGAAAAAAGCTGAACAGAATCAGTTCAGAGAGGAGAGGCCTACTAAGGCCAGTTAACCGAACAAGGCAACAAGGATGCAGGCTTGATCAGTTGTAAGCAGACTGCTACAACAAACGTATGGTGATACAGTGACAAACAGAACAATAAACACATACTGTAGGCTGAAATGCAGTAATATAAAATCATGCCATACAAGTCTGATTATATAATCAATTGTATTTTTGCACTTAAACATTTCGTATCCTCCCACACCCAACAAAATTTCCAAAGCTCCCTTAAGATCCCTTTGTTCCTGGGGAAGCCTTTGGAGACACTGGGACGGGCACAGGAAGTCTTAAAGGTCTGAAAATCACCACTACTGGTCTCCACAGCTACAGTGGACCAATGGCAATGATTTTTTTGACATTTCTGACTCCTCCTTGTCCCACAGTACCAAAAGCTTCCTCAGGACTAAAGGGATCTCAATGAAGCCTAAGGAACTTGGGGGTGGGTGGAAGAATTGATTAATTATCAAAATAAGGCCATGATCCTTACGTGCTGTAACTTTACATCACTGGATTTCAGCCATTATGTAATGCTCAATTGGGCAGTACAGTGGGAATATTTTTTTAAAAATTGCCATCAAGCCAATTCTGACTTCTGGTGATGCTTTTTGGAGTTTTCCATGAAAAGACTCAGCAGTAGTTTACCATTCCATTCTTCTGGGGATGCTCTGAGACTTTGCAGCTTGCCCAAGGACAAACAGGCTGGCTCTATTCACACTACCACAATATTTATTTGCAGGTCTCAGTTCTTGATCATTACAATCACAACTATGATGAAGCACTGTTATTACATTAATAATGTGGCCAAATGGCAACTAAGTTTAGCAGATAAAATACATTTTTACAGGTTATCCAAGATAAAATAAATAGGAAAAGAAGCACAGGAAGGAGAAGGACCTAGTCGCTGAAGAAAGAACCTCGAAGACTAGTTTGGATGCAAAAGGATGTCACTGTTTAAAGCTGCCACATCCAGGGCTGGTGTGATCATGATGCTGTCCAATTTCTGCCACTGAATAAAGTGTCTGCAAATGGTTGCGTTAAATTGCGATGACTTCTGTGTGCCAGGTATGTAAACACATACACACAATATCACCATATGTATGTGTTCCTTAAGAGAACTGGAAAACGGTGAGGTTGTCATTGGAGAAAATGCTGCTAACGCTGCTGCTGTGTGTGTTTCCTGCTGATTATTAGGGCACTTGGATGTGTGATGACTTCTGCGTGCCAGGTATGTAAACACACACACACACAGTATCATCATATGTATGTGTTCCTTAAGAGAACTGGAAAACGGTGAGGTTGTCATTGGAGAAAATGCTGCTAAAGCTGCTGCTGCTGCTGCTGTGTGTGTTTCCTGCTGATAGGCAGACCAGCCTGCCCCAGAGGGCACTACAAGCTTTCATTTTCCCAAGGAAATGTCTTTCTATAATGAAATGCTGCTTTACAAAGCAAAAGACAAAGCAGATGCCTGTCTTCAGTCGCCTACCATCTACAGTTGCCTGGAATCTGCAGCACAAGCGGACAGGTGACGCATCCAGAAAGAAAAGAGATCTTTTGGACATGTGTGTGTTTAGTCGTTTAGTCGTGAAAGAGATCTTTTGGACATGTTGAATACCATTTTGCACTTTTTGGAGAGACACTGAGCCCTAGAAGCAAGAAATCTTAGAAATTTTTGGACATGTTGAATACTATTTTGCACTTTTTGGAGAGACGCTGAGCCCTAGAAGCAAGAAATCTTAGAAACCAAGTTCCTTACTGGGAACTAATAACTAATTTCAGGTCTGCAACAAGCCTAGAACAGGAAAGAGAATGCAGCCGAAATTGGCCTGTGCATGTTTGTGTATGTTTTTATTAAAAAAATGTTCTTGTTACATTTTACAACGCTCCAATGAAGATCAGGCTACACACAAGGAAATGTAGCAAGCCTGAAGAACTGAGCAATAAATAATACAAATATAGGCATAGTACTGATCATGAAGTCGTAAACACGCAATGAAGCAATGCAATAAAATGAAACGAAATCCTCCGCCCTACTCTAGTTGAACTTTACGACGGTAGCTTCTTCCACCCCCACCCCCGCGCCCCCGAATTCTTACTTTGCAAAGAATTAGGAAAGGAAGAGGATGAGAAAAACCGAGTGCCATTCTTTTTCCTACCAGGGACCGACCAACCAAGAAGGCAGCGCTTGAGTCCGGCCGTCTGCCAAAGGCGGGAAAGGGATTTCCCGAGGCTGCTGCCTCACAAACAAAGTAACCGTGCTTGTGTGACTATATGTAAATAGAGCGGCTGGCTTCCTCCTTCCCAGAGGAATGTCACAGTCCCACTTCGTTCCTGCCTCTCCTCGGTCCCAGCAGCCCCAGGAGACGGACGGACAGAGA